CAAGGGGACCCTGAGGGGTGGACTGCTTTTATCCCCAACATAATCCAGGCTTCCCATGGCCAGTAATGAAAATATATCCCCACTGTTAGGGGCAATGAGGCTTGCCCCTTTATCAAATAGCCCCAACGAAGTAAACCCACCCGATTCCCCGACCCCAGGCTCTCCTTTGACCACGGCTCCAAACACTTCAATAACTACCCCTTCACCAATGCCTACTAGTACAGTAGCCAACAATCAACCCTCAAGGGACATTTCCACTCTCCCAGCATGCCCAACTTCAACACCTCTACCCCCACAACCTCCAACATCAACCACCCCATCCTCCCTTATTAATACCTTACAGCCTTATAGCCCACCTCTCCATAACACTACCTCCATCAACACTACTCCATCTTCGTCACGCCCTCGCCCTTCTACCACCCCTATCTCTAAAACAATCTTGAATACTCTCTTCAGTGCAGCCAAATGGGACCGATTTTTCGTGATCCCTCCCACAGCTCCCTACTCTAACAACACCCTTCTCTTCCAACAATGCCTCCAAAAACAAGTAGGTAAAGTCTCTTTCCGTAGCCGACCCGACCGCTCCCGTCTTGTAACAGTAACATCCGAAAACCAAGCCATAGCACTAACAAAACTAACTGACCTATATGGTAACCCCATCCTAGCAGAACCCCATCCAACCCTCAGTACTTGCACCGGAACAGTCTCAATCTCACCAACAAATTGCCCAATCTATGACAAAGAATGGTCAGATTGTGGAGAAGATCTACTTGCCTGTCTCACAGACTACGATGCAACATCAGTACAATGCTATTCCATCCCCCCCAGAGGTCATCGAAAGAAACCCACTAACATAGCCAAAATTACCTTCCGTAGACATGACCTTCCCTTTAACGTCTACATAGGAGGAGAATCCCTCCCTGTTCGTCCATACCAACCTCCTCCACGTCAGTGCCAAAATTGTTGGCGTCTAGGACACCCAGCCAAACACTGCCGTTCCACAGCCAGATGCCCATTATGTGCCCAACCTGGCCATACCCGATCTAACTGCACAATCACGCACATGTGCCAACTGTGGCGGCCCCCATAATGTATTTTATAGGGGCTGTCCCACCTACAAATTTGAATCTGAGGTAGCAACTCTCAGATTCAAACTCGGACTCACACTGCGTGAAGCCAGACAGGAAGCACGTCGACGTGGATTCTCTCTTACTCCTTACTCCAGTAATACTGCTCATCCTAACACTTCTCCTAAACCCACCCCTCCTACATCTAACCCCCCCACTAACCCCACCTACCTTCCCCAGTCAAACTCCTTTGCCATCCTAAATCCAGAAACTCCAATCTCTACTACAGATACTCCAATCACCACTACAATCCCAACACCTTCCCCTCTCCCTCCTCGCACTCCCCGTAACAGACAGAACAAACGTTCCACCCCCTCTTCCCCTACCACACAATCACCCCCACCATCCTTTGCCCGTACTCTTGAGACACCAGTCCTCTCTTCCCCCCCTCACAAGAAATCCTTTATCCCCCAAAACTCCCCAACCAACTCCACAGAAGAAACTATTGAAAATATTCAAGATTACTTAATGAAAACCGACACTCAACCTACAACTCCTGCTCCTTCCACACTCCAAGTAATTGCTGATATCCATCCTCCTCCTAACGATATCCCCCCTACACCCTACCCTCCTACCCCCTCCCAACACAGCCCATTCCCCCTGACCCCAACCCTGCCCACATTAACTCTCCCACCATCCCCTCTATCCCTTCCACTCCCTCCTGGATACACACGTGAATCCCTTATGTCACAAGTATCCCCTTCCTCAGACCCTCCATCTCCTAATACCCCTCCTGATAGAACACCAACTCCCACACCTCTCCCATCTCAAACCTCTCAGTCCTTATCCCACCCTCTAGCTACTTCCCCTTCAAATTCTCCAACACGTACTACAATCTATATCACTAAATCAACGAAAGTATAACTATCCTTCATTGGAATATTCGCGGTTTCCGCTCCCACAGACCTGACCATCATATCCTTTCCTCTTATAACCCATCTATTGTATGCCTTCAAGAAACCTTTCTTATGCATACCCTTTATCTAATATAACACCCGACCTTAACCCTTTCACTCACTAATTCCTTTGCCCAGCTTAGACAACTAATCACTAACTCACTCACCCTTCACTAACATTAACTATAGTGCTACATGACCTTAGATGTCTAGCACATTTATCTTGCTTTTAACCATTAACCATTAACCATGATATAATTTCTCCAACAACTGTTCTTCATAAGCATACGCGGAGACATGGATGTCTATAAAGGTCCTTCCTCTCCAGATGCGCTTTCCAGGTCAATATTGCTTCTTCATCATCATCTTTTCCAGAGCTCGGTCATCACTATATGTTGATGATTTAACCATTTTCGCCTCTTGGCACGTTCATACCTACTCTCCGCCAATTCCTTCAGTCTGCAATATCATCAGTATCTCCCTGGTCCGCTAAACATGGCTTTCGCTTTTCTACCTACAAATCTTTCTCCATCATTTTTTTTCTCTCTCTCATTGTTGGCCCTCAACCTTCACTCTTCTTATATGGCACTCCATTCCAGTACCGTTCTTCTGGCAAAGTCCTAGACATTATTTTTGACTCCAAATCATCCTGGCGAGACCATATCTTTTACATTAAAGAAAAGCTAGTCGCCGCCTCCGAATTTTACAGACTCTCGCCCATATATCCTGGGGCTCAGATCGCAAAACTCTCCTCCGTCTTCATGTTCCCTTGATTCTCTCCACTCTGCTTCTTTGCCTCTACCTCTCTTCTTGCTCATCTTGATACAATCCACCACTGCGGTCTTCGCATAGCCTTAGACGCCTCCTGTTCCTCTCCAGTTATGAGCCTGTACAATAAGTCAGGTATGTCATCTCTCTGTCGAAGCTCCCTCTCCGATGCTATGCTTAATTCCAACAATTTTCTCTCACCAGCTAACTATCCCTCGATCTCTGCTTCCTACCTTTGCTTCTCCACGTTTACCTACTCCTTTCTCGATTCAGGATAAGGATAAGTCCGATTTGCGAAGCTGAGCCTCGCCCGGGCTATGGGGGAGCCCGGCCTGTGCCGACTTATGTCAACTCGCTATCAGTGTGTCATCCCCCTCTTTGCCCTTTTCACTACTACATCTCTCTATAGTTCTATATGACCTTTAATGCCTAGCACATTTGTTTAGTAACCTTAACCATTTACAGAACTTGAACCAATGTTGTTACCAGCTATACAATCGCAAGACATTTTTTTTCTTTACAAGGAAATAATGCCTAATAATAACGCCTTCACAATGCCTAAGGGCAACATTCCTTTGGGTTTATTTTTTTTTTTTTATCATATGTGACTTACTCTAGCCTTCAGTAGACTCAAGGTTCCTCCAAACTAGAACTTATTTATATTTACTCGGCAAAAAGTATCATGAACCAGTGGTGGAGTCAAATTCATGATCACTAAGTTATCCAGTATTAACTATACATATTCATACATATTTTTGTTGCTTTCCAATTCCATCACACACACACACACACACACACACACACACACACACACACACACACACACACACACACACACACACACACACTTACACACACATACACATACACACACTCACACATACAACACACATACACAAAACAAACACACACATACACACACGTATATCTCTAGAGTGGCGATTCTTATAATATAGGAGTCCACTCCAGCGGTGGTCTCGCCTCAAAGGACCTAGTCCCTTGGTCCTCCAAATGTTGAAGTAAAATTTACTTTTGGGTTCTATCAATGCTTCTATTATTATTTCATCAAAATTGTTATGTTTGTTACCCCACATATTTTATAGCACAAGTGGTAGTAAATGTACTGACCGTCGTATCTCCCAGTATAGTATTCTATTTACAGGATTTCGTTTTGGTGCTTTTCCCAAATAAAACACATGTCTTATATCTTCACTTTTACTTTAACATCATCTTTTACTTATTTTGACTAGTATCACTATAAGGTAAATATTTAGCTTGTAAATGCAGTACTGTAGTGTTGCATTTTCATTATCTATAACCAAAGAACAAATTCAAAATGGTAATTACTGGCACATGTATACCCTTGCTATGTGCAACGGAATGCGTCCTTCTCTTATTTAAATTAATTCGAAAACGTGCGCAAAACTTGCAATTGCAGATCATGGATATATATCATGCTTTGGCAAATCCAGTTAACAGACACTAAGCATCACCATAAAATGTCAGATGTGATTAAATACTATTTTTGTACTTCGTGAAGTTTATTCCGGATTAAAGAAATCCCAGGGCGCGTCAAGTACATTTGACCTATATATATATGTGTGTGTGTGTGTGTGTGCGTTTATATATATATATATATATATATATATATATATATATATATATATATATATATATATATATATATATACATATATATATATATATATGAGTGTGTGTGTATGTGTGTGTGTATACATACATATATACACACATACATATATATATATATATATATATATATATATATATATATATATATATATATGTGTGTGTGTGTGTGTGTGTGTGTGTGTGTGTGTGTGTGTGTGTGTGTGTGTGTGTGTGTGTGTGTGTGTGTGTGTGTGTACATACATATATACACACATACATATATATATATATATATATGTATATATATATATATATATATATATATATATATATATATATATATATATATATATATATATGTATATATATATATATATATATGTATATATATATATATATATATATATATATATATATATATATATATATATATATATATATATACATATATATATATATACATATATATATATGTATATATATATATATATATATATATATATATATATATATATATATACATATATACATATATATACATAAAAACAGTATATATCATGGTATATATGCAGAAAGATATTCTTTTGGACCTTTAATCCGCGCCCATCCTTTTACCTCACCCTCAGCAATGTCCATGACCCCTTTTATCTGTTCCTTTATAATCCACTATATCGAATTCCTTTCTTCCCCCCACCTTATCTGTACCCTCTTAAGCCTCTCCCCTTAGAGATCCTCCAGCTCCTCCTGGATGTTGGTAAAGTTTCCTGCTTTTGTGGTGGTGGACTCGCCCTCGTACGCCGGCATCAGGCTGAGCCGCTTGTTGCCGTCGCGGTCCTGCTGGGTCTCGGGGACGGTGCCGCGCTTGCTCTTCTTGTACTGTGCGGGGAGCGGGAGCGGGCGTGATTATGGCATTCTTTTGGTTAATATATACTGGGCATGCAGCATACAGCACACGCACATAGATAGATAGATAGATAGATAGAGAGATACACATAGATTGATATAGATATATTGATATAGATAGATACAGATAGATACAGGTAGATTGATATAGATATAGATATATGACCTTCCATAGCTGAATATCTAGATAAATCTAGATGAGCCACTCACCTTGTACTTAACCATAGGATCAACTTCCTCTTCGATGAGCCCAATCTCCCTGGCGAGCCAGCGGGATTTGGCCACCAGCTGCTCCTGCATCAAATTGATACACATGGACAGCAGTGCCATTCCTGATGAAAATGTTGATGGTTTAATTTGTTTCCATGTGCTTACTAAAACACGTTTTACCATAGAGGAATTGCTGAAGATACTCAGATATAATATTTAATTCATCAAAACCCCACATGAAGCGCACACTGACCAAACAAGCAGAAGAGCACCGTCACCAGCATCTTCATGGCAGCCATGAGGCCATCAGAGAGATCGAGGAACGAATTTCCGGGCACGTAGTCGCCAAAGCCGATGGTCGTGAGTGTGATGAACGTGAAGTAAACGGACTCCAGAAGGTTCCAGTTCTCCCACCACGAGAACAGGGCGCCGCCAAGCATCAGGTAGACGGTGATGATGCACAAGTTCACGACGATGGGCACGTCCACCTGTTGGCCGCCGGAAGGAAGGGTAGAACCTGCTGTATTCATGTCATCTTAAAGTATCGTCATCCATTATATCTTCTAGTAAGGCGGTACACACAACGTTCTTTCCTATTCTGTATATCCTTTATCTACTGTTTTATGCTATTCTATAAATCCATATTGTAAAAAAAAGAAAGTACGTTACTATTTTTTTTTTCTTCCCCCCCCCCCTTTAAAAACCAGTGCACCGCCCCACATTCACCAAAGCAAATGACCAGCTCACCGAATTTGTGGGCATGAAGGTCTCGAAGCCAACGTCATCCTTCCACAGGCTCCTCTTCTCCACGGTCTTGCCTTTCTTCTGCTCGCTTATCCTCCGGCGAATCCTACACCAGCGGCAGCACAGTCGGCTAATGAATAATGAGATAAAGAAAGTTCATTGAAAAAAGTTCGCCTTCGTAAATGTGAGGAAAATAGATGATTGATTTTTATCAACAGAATGATAGAAATGCATTTTTTTCAGAACATTAGGACAAGTAATTAAATGCCACTGTCTAGCCGAGGGTTTGGAATGATCATGATAAAGAAAAATTAAGATATCAACGTTATGCAAAGTTATTTTTTTCTAGTTATACATAAAATAGTGATACTGCATAGACAAACGACATAGAGCGCACCTGTAGAGGTATCTGCACGTATTCGCAAGGAAGTCACCAATGTTCGCTAAGAACACCAGGAGGAGTGGAATGCCAATGACGTTGTAGAAGATTGTGAACACGCGGCCTTGGAAGGTCTTAGGGGCGATGTGGCCGTATCCTGAGGGAGACCAAAGCCAAAATAAGACTTTGTGCGAGGCTAAACTATAAAGGCCGTGGGAAGATGGGCTCTGTGTCTGTGCTTAAAATTGTATGTATGTGCATGCCAGACTGCATTTTTAACGTAAATAAATTCACATCTTATTTATTAAACTACACAGCTGGTGAAGGGTCTACATTTTTTTAGTGCACAGATATGGTTTTGTAAAATATTTTTGAAAATTATGATAGAATATACCTCTTCTGTGATTGAAAACCATTTAAACAATTCTGCAGTAACTCTGCAAGGTCATTACAGTCGTTAGAAACTGCATTCCTGTGTGTATGAATATGTGTATGTACGTGCAACGCAGACATATACACTAACCAATCGCAGCGATGCTAGTAACGGTGAACAGAAGCGACTTGGAGAGCGTCCAGTCCCAGTCCCACTTGTTGACATTTCCATCATATTTGATGGCCGAGTCGCCGCTTTTTGCCACAACAAATTCGTGAAATACCACCAAATTCTTCATGACCTATATAAGGCAGGAATAATAAGGAATAAAACGAAAATCAGAAGTGAAAGCTATTTTCTTATCTTCTACGTACTTGATATGACGACTGAGCCAAAAGAGAAACAAAATATCAGCAATTCACTAACACCTCAAAAAATAAAAATAAAAAAAGAAAGAAAGAAAGGAAGAAAAAAAGTAGATTGATGACGAATGAACGCTTTTACCTCCAAACCACAACACCTACCAAACTGTGATACTCAGCCTTCGTGTGGTTAAGGCTGTTATGGTACCACAATAGGGAAATGATGTACTTGGTGGCGTCGTTGATGTCCATGGCGACGTTCCGCTTCTTCTGGTAACGCATTTCCTCCGCCGGTTTCTCGATGGAGATGAAGAGGTAGGCTCCTGTATACATGGGTGGGAGAGGGGGGGGGGCATTAATGAAGGCGATGTAAGGAAGGAATTTTGATATGAGGAGTAGATAAGAATAAAGGCAATGTTATTGTTATTATCACTATTGACATTGCTATTGATAGTATTGTTATTATTGTCTTTACCGTTATTGTTAATATTATCATTTTCGCAATTATTATTGTTGTTGTTGGTATTATTATTATTATTATTATTATTATTATTATTATTATTACTATTATCATTATTATCATTATTATTATTATTATTACCATTATTATCATTATTATTATTACCATTATTATTATTATCATTATGATTATCATTATTATCATTATTATTATCATTATTGTTATAATGATAATAATAATAATTATTATTATTATCATCATCAACATTGCTATTTCCATCAAGATTTCTATTATTATTATTAATATTATTATTATCGTCATTGTTGCTGTTGTCCTTATTATTATTACTATTATTATCGCCATCACCACATCACAATCACCACAACCATCACCACTCACAGTTACCACATCAAAATCACTTACAATCACCACTCGCAATCCCATCACAATCACCACCTTCTCACAGTTACCGCATCACAATCAGCCCAGCCACACTCCCCCCGCAACGTACCAACGACAGTGTAGACCGAGACGAGGATGAAGAGGCCGACGTGGGAGAACATGATCCTCGCCACCGTCTTGCCGCAACTCTTTTTCTCATCTTTGTCACTGATGAAGCTGCTCATCTTCTTGATCGCTGTTGCAGGAGTCGGGGGGGGAAGAGAAGGGGGTGGGGGGGAAACGGTGGGTATTAATTTCTCGCGGGAAATGTCCCCGGTGGCCAAAAAAAAAAAAATATGTTTGTATTGGGATTGGTTTCTCGATTTCACAGGAAAGTGGAGAAGGGTTAAGGAAGGGAAGATTAAAAAAAAGAAAAAAGAAAAGAAAAAAAAAGTGTTGCAATGCGTGTTGTTGAAATCGGAATCCTTTTTTTTTTTTTTTTTGGCCTTTTTATTTATAATCTTGATTTTTTTTTCCCCCTTTTCTTATTCGTTTGCGTAATCTCTGGGCATGATAATGATAATAAAGCTTTTGCTGGGATGATGCTATGTTATTCTAATTTCATTATTACGTCTTGAAGATATTAATTAAATGATTGATTATAATAATGATAACAAAATTAACATATTATTATCATTATTATTATCATCATTATTATAATTATTATCACTTTCATTACTATTATTTTAAATATTATTATAAATATTGTTATTTTTATTACTTTATTATTATCACTATCATTATTATCACTACTATTCTTCTTACTATTATCATTATTATTATTATCATCATCATCTTTATTATTATTATTATTATCATTATTATTATATTCATTATTATTAATTATTATAATATCATTATTATTCCTGCTATTAATATTATCATTATTATTGTTATTATTATTTTCATCATGATTATAATCATCATCATCATTATTATTATTATTGTTATTATTATTATTATTATTATTATTATTATTATTATTATTATTATTATTATTATTGTTATTATTATTGTTATTACTATTATCATTATTGTCATTAATATTATTGTTATCATTATTATTATTAATATCATTGTTATTATTATTACTTTTATTGTTACTTTTATTATTATTATCTTAATAATGATATTGATTGTTATTGTTGTTATTATTATTATTACTACTTCTACTTCTACTACTACTACACCTACCACTATTAGCAGCGTTCGTAGTATTAGTATCATTATTACCATTGATATCATTATCATCACTGTTATTATTGTTGATATTATTGTTTCTATTTTATCATTTTCATTTTATCAGTAGGATTAATGTTATTAGGATTATGATTACTGTTGTCTGGGATTAATGTATCATTATTTCTATGAATATTATAGCCTGTTTGTATCACTAATAACATTATAATTAATGTTAATATTATTACCACTATTATCATCCGTACCATGATGATCAACATCCACCTACAATCATTAATAACACTGGCAATATAAAAAAAAGGACATTCAGATCAATATTACTAATAATACTACATCGCCATCATAGTGACAACTACAACATCTCCATTGGATAAATTTCATTAGCACATTTTTTTTTTTACACAACTGACAATTATCATATTTATCGTAATTACTCTCCGTTCCAGAGTCCAGGGGATCTCGAGGAAACGGCCGCTCTGTTGTGGTTACTCCGTGTACGTAGCAACAGGGGGGGGGGGGTAACGGGAGGTTATTTTCTTCTCATTTTTTTGTGTGATTGCGGGTTGTGATTTTTTCTTTCATTTCTATTTGTCTAATTGATTACTGATTTTGATTTTTTTGCTTATTTTGAAGGAATGTCTAATTCTTATGATTGTATGCAACTGGTAGGGGGGAGTTGGGAGGCATGATGATAAGGAGGAGAAGAAGCAAAAAGAAGAGAGAGAGAGAGAGAGAGAGAGAGAGAGAGAGAGAGAGAGAGAGAGAGAGAGAGAGAGAGAGAGAGAGGAGAGAGAGAGAGAGAGAGAGAGAGAGAGAGAGAGAGAGAGAGAGAGAGAGAGAGAGAGAGAGAGACGTAGAAGAGAAGGAGAAAGATGAGAGAGACAGAGAGACAGACAGACAGGGAGAGAGAGAGAGAGAGAGAGAGAGAGAGAGAGAGAGAGAGAGAGAGAGAGAGAGAGAGAGAGAGAGAGAGAGAGAGAGAGAGAGAGAGAGAGAGACGAAGAAGAGAAGGAGAAAGATGAGAGAGAGAGAGAGAGAGAGAGAGAGAGAGAGAGAGAGAGAGAGAGAGAGAGAGAGAGAGAGAGAGAGAGAGAGAGAGAGAGAGTCGCAAAACTCCAAAAACTACAGCAATTTTCTGGTCCTGAAAAGTCATACCACTGAATATTACCCAGAGATAGTTCTTAGAGAGAGAGAGAGAGAGAGAGAGAGAGAGAGAGAGAGAGAGAGAGAGAGAGAGAGAGAGAGAGAGAGAGAGAGAGAGAGAGAGAGAGAGACAGACTCGAAGAGGAGAAGGAGAAAGATGAGGAAGAGAGAGAAGTGGAAAAGGAAAGTGAAGGAGGAGAGGGGGAGCAGGTAGGGGAAGGGAGAGAGACGGAGAAGCAGAGGAAATTCAATCGGGAAAATCGATATTGAAGTCGACTTAACCCCTGGAACTAGCGACTTCAGACGACACGTGGAGAGAATTACGAAAAATAAGCACATTTTGATTGACCGAAATATTTTTCTGTGAAATTTGATAACGATTATAATGAATACTGTATGAAATGTATGACCAATACACCAGTGCACTCAGTTAGTTGCTGGTATTCGAAAGAAAAACTGAAAATATACAAATAACAATAATAGTAATAATTGCAATAATAATAACAGTAATAACAATAATGATTATTACTATTATTATCATTATTATTATTGTTATTATTAGCATCATTATTATCATGAATAATGTCAATACTAATAACAATAACAACTGCAGATTTCAAAAAGTGAACTGACAGACACGTTATTTTCAACAAAAAGGCGACCCAAGACGAGTCAGCGACTAGAGAAACATCAGCCGCATAGACTAATTCTAACAACATATTATGGTATTGAAGAAATGATGATAGAATACACTATTGTATAAACCATTATAATTACTAAAGATTGAGAGTTTACGTTACTAAAAGAACCACATAGATATTATGTAAATTGCAAAGTGAAAGTGAAGCATTAAAGACATAGAAGTATATATCCATATATATGATAATATATGTATATATATATATATATATATATATATATATATATATATATATATATATATATATATATATATATATATATAAAGAGAGAGAGAGAAAGAGAGAGAGAAGGGATTAGAAAGCGAGACAATCAGACAAACAGATAAAAAGAGGGATACATCCAAAGCTAAATTCACAGAACAGAGATACAAGATATAGAGAAGAGCATAAACAACAGTGCATATGAATACTTACTACTTGATGAGTATATACTGTTACGAAAATCTGTGTATAACTATATCCTATGTAAAATTTTAATGACAGACAAGTTTGCTATGTATACCACATTAACAGTACTATAAATATGCTCATACATAAAATATCACGGTAATCAGACTGAAAGATATGGGAAAATGAACTCAGATCGAAATGCCAATGGCTATAGTAAAATGTCAAACACATAAAACAAGTACGTAGGCTTTTGTTAAAAGGGATGTGGTATGTGTCTTATTTTTTCAAAGATTGGGAAGATTATATAAAGCAACGGCAGTCAAG